TTGCAAATAACAACTATAGAATTAAAATAATCCGAATAGGTACATAAAATTAACGCGAAAAAATTTTTACTGTCAAACATGGGTGTTATAACTCGAAATATAAGCACGCCCCGTTAAAATATGAGGTATTAAAATAAAATATAAAAATAAAATTTAAAAATTATTTATCTATAGGCCTCAAAGAATTTCTTTATTATTTTTCGTCACTCGAATAATTACCAACCAGAAATTTTTATTTAAAACTTAATATTTATTTTCCTACAATGGCGACTATTTGTAAACATGTCTGCTTTTGAATAAGGGAACTTTAAAGTGTTAATTCTATGCAAAACGTTCAATTTTCGTCACTATAATGCTAATTGGGACGTTTACCCCCATTAACAAATAATTCCTTTCCTTTTATCAATCGGGCCTTGAAGAGTTATAATTGAGGCTGTAAAACTTCAGAAGATTTTTCCCTCTGCTCGTATAATCTCCACGATGGAAACCACCTTGTCATCGCTATTTTTCATTCCATCTAAAGAGTTTTTCCTATTTATGTTTAATTTTGCGACCAGCCTTTCCATTTTGCCTTAAAATCCGTCGTAGCCACCTGTAAAACGTGAGACAAATGGAGAAAGCGCTTATTTATAACCGACCTCAGTGTTCGCTGCCGAGGCTGCAGATCTGAGCGAGGTAGTTAATATGCTTTATATATTGTATATACTATTTTTTTTTCAAGCGTTTAAAATTTTGTTTTTACTTACATTGAAATTATCGAGTTTGCGTCATTTTGTCAGGTTTGACGTTTGATATATGTTATATTATAGGTTGTGTATATAAATTTACTCTACCGTGACATGTAATTTTACATTTTTTTTTGCTGATTTCATGCTATTTCAACGCGATAGATGGAACCACTCTTCCTATGTAATTTCAATGTATTTTCATTAGTGTACGGCGGTTATAATAATTTGCGTAAAAAAATGAAGTTTTTCTATATAGGCTTATGAGTGTTATATGAAAATTGTCAAACGCTTAAAAAAATAATTTTATTTTATTCTTTGTATCTTATTACGAAGATCCCGGGATTGGGACTCTTTATCCAGGGATTTTTTGAATCGGTTTATTTTTTTTATTAACATCATTAAAATAAAATATAATATATATAATAAAGTAAATAATAGGTAGGGGAGAGTGGGGAGGGTCTGGACACTGGGAGACAATGGACAATGGACAAATTTCGCGGTTCCAGTAAAAATTTCAGGTTGGTTCTACTATTACAGATCGTCAAGTTGGTAAGGTATCAAATAGTGGTAGTGAAATAAGTTTGAGTTTAGCTGTAGAAGAGGTAAGTGAAAAAGTTTATTTTCGAGTTTTTTCATGTTATATTTTACTTTTCCCTTGTACACAGGTGTCTTTAAGTAAAAATTGGTTTAACAAAAATGTCACCAAAAACTAATTAGGGGGTCTTGTAACAGAAGTACTGGGGATAAAAAAAATCAATCAAACAAAATCGTAGCTGCTTACTTAGGGCATATATACATATTATTTATAAATGATGTGATGAAAATTCAACTACAGCTTTTTTTAAATTAACTATGTATCTAGGATCATCTAAACGGTTTATTTTATTTCTATTCCAGTATATAAGGAAAATTTTGTGAACAGATTCACCACTGTTCTGACCATAGACCTAGTCCATTATTTTTCAGAAACTTTATTGAATCTTGAAAGTGATGGATGATCACATGAATTTTTGAGTTTCAGATACGCCTGTTGCTTTGAAACACTTCGATAACATATCTGCTTTATAATCATACCCTGAAGCAACCTTCCCAGTCATGAAACATTTTTCAACAATTTTGTTCATGATTTTGAATGAAGATATAAAAGGAATCACGCATAGTACTCCTACATTCTTAATAATTTTTGGATCAGTAAGTATGTTGCTTTTCTTCAAAAGTTTTCTACAGGCATTCCCTTCGAACATATCACCGTGATAATTTTTCGCGATTAAGCTTAGTTTTTTAGGCCTCAGCAAGGCTCCATCACGTCCAAGTAGAGGCAAAATAAATGATTCACGAATCCTTGGAGTAGGTGGAGTTCTGGTATGATACACTTTTCGATGACATACATATCATCAGCTTCTTCAAAAAGGGGATGGTAATGTTACAGTCCTTCGCAAGCTTTTTGTTTTTCCCTTCAAAACAAAATTTAGCGGTACTTCTTTTTGAATCTCCATATGTCTTTAAATAAGTAGTAGACGCATCTTTTTTTCTGTTTTCTCACAAACCTCTTTGACTGTCATATCATAGCGTAAATCCTTTAAGGTAATCAAACAATATGGGCACGGATAAGTAGCGGTAGCCGTTTGCTGGCTATTGATTAAAAGTTTAGTTTAAAATCGGAGACAAATTTAAAAGAGATTGCATTAAGACTTGTTAATCTGAACATTAACTCAACATTTTGATAAGTTTCTTTTACTTGAGGTACAATGCAAAGCATTATAAGTCGATTTATACTTGTCAATTTTCCTTTCTTTTTGATGGACCCTCTATTAACATAGAGACTTCTTTGACTTTTGATTTCCACTTGATCATTTTCTTCCCCTTCCTCTTGAATTAATTCAGTATTTTCTAAGTCTCTGTCCAAATCGGGTGAATAGTTCTTTGGGAGAATAGTTATACATATTTTAAAAAAACCTTGACCTCCGTCCGCCATTACTTTAACCGTTGGTACGCCTATTTGCTCCCTTTTCTCCAAAACTGCCGCTAGTAGCTCTTCAGCATTAGCCCAGACTATAGGCCTTTTCTTTTTAGTTTCTTTACCCTCCACATCAAATTCTTCTATACTGGTCTTATAAAAGAGTGTCAAGCTTTTTGACATTTCGCTCATGTGTTGGCTGTAGTGAGGGGGTACAGAGTTTTTCCCGGCCTGGCAACTTAAACAGTTTGTGAACTTTTTCATTTGGTGCGATGAGGCCCCAGAATTCACTTGGTAATTATCTAGATGTTCCGAGGAAAATAGGACTTACATTTTGATAATTATGTCCTGGTTTATTATCACTAAATTTTTTAAGGGTACCAGTATTTACCTGCTGTTGTTGTTTTCTCATGTCCTGTGTAGACCTAGGTCTAGACGAATATAATATGAAAAATAGTGGCAATATTTAGGTACCTATAGGTCTAACATCACCACTGGTCTGGTAATGTTACATCTAGATATCTGTGTTTCCTATGAAGCATCCAGTCAAACAGATGTAACAGTTGCATTCGTCGTTTCTTGTTCTAGTCGATTTTGGTAGTCGTATGTCGTGAAAATTGGGCATCTTTGGCAACTGTCGTTTAAAATTGCCCTTGTCGTTCGCAAAGAGTGATACGACATGTACCACATAAACTTGATGGGAATCGAGGATCAAACATAGCAAAACTTTTGTTCGCAAATTGTTTTATCAACTGTTGCAGTTTTTCGGTATAATAAGGAATTTCGTAGCACTTGATTTCCCGAAAATAACTTTTCTTCCGCACAACCCACAAACTTTTTTCCTGTTTTGGGCATGATCGCATTTGAACACCGTAGCCGTTGCCATTTCAATACCGTTTGACAAATAACAAAATTTAATGACACTGACACAGTTTGACAAATGTCAAATTACCAGATCAATTTATTACAATACAATCTACGATCCTTGCATGGTCAAAAATTAACGATTTATCTCCACATTTGTAAATAGTATGTTACACCAAATATATGCCCTAAGTGAGCAGCTACGATTTTGTTTAATTCATTTTTATGAACCCAAGTACTTCTGTTACAAGGTTTCCTAAACAGTTTTTGGTGACATTTTTATTAAACCAATTTTTACTTAAAGACACCTGTGTGTAAGCTTTTCTGCCCAGACCGTTGTAGATAAATAATTTAAAGTTACTACATATTAAAGCATGTATAAAGCATGGAACTTTTGTTATATCTTTACTTTATTCCGTTGCTATATTTTGAAATTCTAAACATTTTTTTTGTTCCACATCATGTAGGGAGAGTTTGGACACACTATCTAGAGTCTTCCTCTATTGTCCAAACATCGTCCCGGCACTTCGTTAGCGGAATATTGCAAAAATTAAACCGAGGATATACAGTCAAATTCCTTAAAAGGCAGTTTCCATCATACAGATTTAAAGAAACAGATGAAGATGAAGCCTTTGTGGATTTTAAGGACGTGGTATTGGTTTTTCCCACCCACTGACGGAGTTCGATTCCATAACATGATTTACTTTAATTTTGATTTGTCGCAATTTAGTATTGTATAAGTTTTGCACTAATTTTTTCAATAAAATACCTAAATTTTTAATATTTTTATAGTGTCCAAATGCTGTCCAGAATCTCCTCGTATGTGGGGTGACTTTGGACAGATGACCGAAAATTTTCAAAAATCTCTTTGCGTTTTTAGAAGTCAACACTATTACCTGAAACTTTGAAATTAGAAATAAGTACATTTTTAAGAGACCCAGGCAAAAAAATCTAAAAATTGTCCAATGTCCACCCACTCTCCCCTAAACATTAATAAAAATAAAGTAAGACAAACAAAACACATAACATAACATGTTACCGCCAATTATATATGGAAAGTATAATGAGAAAAAAAGAATCTATGATACGCAAAAACATATTTTTTTAAATTGTATCCAGTTTTAAATAACTTAGTTAATTTGGTATTTGACAAACAAAAAATCATTTCAGTAGATAAAATGTTTAAAAAGTTATTATTATTTTTATTTTTGTTCTTTTTTGTGGGGTTATCAAACTATTTTTGAAAACATGAGTACCCAGGTACCTATTCTAATATAGTTTAACATAATTAACCATTAAAATACTGTTTATCTGTTTTAGCTGTAAAATTTACTTTCTATATAGAAAATGTTACACCTTTAAACACTGAAATTTCATCTAAATCTACAAATTTTTATGCTGTCGATAGGGAGTTTAAAAAATCACTAAACAAAATATTATCTGAACTTAATATGAAAAATAAAAGTAAATAATAAATAACTTTAATTATAATTATCTATAGATATTTAATATTGTAGCTGACGTTTGGGAATCCAGTTTGCAACAATGTTTCGGAATAGTTATAACACCAGATGAACCAATTATGAAATTAAAAGGTTTTGATGTCATCCAAATTGATTTTTGGATATACGCAAATACCTACGGAATATACATGGAAGAAATCGTGGTTAATTTTGCAGATATACCTTCATTTTGCTTTAGTTTGTTGGTTGAAATTGTAGGATTACCCATAGAATTTCCTTTTGCTTTAAACATGACTACACAATTTCCAACCATAAGGTAAACTCTCATCTAATTTTAACTAATTATTATATTTAAAAATACAACCACAATAAAATTATGAAATTGCAATATAAAATACACTCTTTGGCTAGCAAAAAACGTTAAAACGTTACACAATTGATGATTGCATCTTGGAAACATTGGCGAATCCAGAAACAATTATTGGGGGAGGGAAAATTAATTATACATATATAGATACAGACATATTTATATTAAATAACATTTATGGAGCAAACATGCAAAAGCCGATAAATCCATTTTAACTTATTCTGAGATATTGGCCAAAAATGTGTACAGCCGAGTCCCTCAAATATTTAAAAAAAATTTAAAAGGGAATGTTGCTTCTCTTGGGTTGCCTCTGTTTCGGTTTTTCTTTAAAATGCTGTGCCAAGTCAAAAGAGTACCAAAATTAGTAAGAATCGGTACTGAACTCTTAAAATGTAAAAATGGATTTATCGGTTTTTGCATGTTTGCTCCACAAAACCAAGCACAAAACTACAATTTAAATGTTTTTTTTCGTTGAAAATGAAGACAGTTATTTTTTATTTTTTTTATATCCAGGGGAAATTTTCCTAATTTGATCAACATTTGTTCCCAGTACGAAGCTCTTGGGGGAGGGGAGTTACTGTAGTTTAACCCATTTAAAAAAACTGAACCCAATACTAATGATTTGTGTATCAAGAGGATTTCTCAAAATAATTTTTCATATTAAGGTTTGGTAACATACCATATAAATGGAAACCAATTAAAAGGAAACTTAAAGTGGTTAATTCAAGCGAAATACCTATAGCAGTATGTTTTCATGTATTTTTACCAAATTTTAAAGATAATAAATACAGACCTTTCAATCTCATCTTTGATATGAAAAACGAAATTGTTAATATAGATGATGTCGAATTATTTTTGGTACACAATAAATTGGGAAAGGAAACTTCAGAATACCTACAGGTAAAATACTTTGCTGTAAATTTTTAAATAGTTAAATAATTACTTATAGTTAACGCCCTGTGATTTAAATTTGGAAAAACACAGTTTTAAGGAAATTGAGCTATGCATGTATTCTGATAAAATTCCCGCAATTAAAGAAAAAACAGATCTTACTTGTTATATATTAGCTTATATTTATTTAAACGAGGATGATAGGTAAAAAAATATGGTCGTATGCAGAAATGATTGTTTTAATTTGATGATTTGTAATTTCTGACAACATAATATTTCAAATCAAATCTTCAAATAAATGTTCCTGAATATTGTCATAAGTATAACATAGTATAACTATTTGTTTTTAAAATTAACATTTTAGAATGAAACTAAACTTTTACTATAGAAAATCGGGAAAACATCTAAGAAATATTAAAATAGACGTTCTCGCAACTATAGAGCTGCCAACTTTTAAATTAGATTATTTATACGGCGATACAAAATTGCAATTCTTCGTGAACGATATAATATACGAAGATAAATCACATATCGATTTTAGACTAGTATTTCAAAATAACAATTGTTCTGCCATAAATACCACTCTTCATATTATGGAACCTTTTGATGTTATAAGTGTAAGCACTAGCGATGGCGTTGAAGGAAAGGATACCATTTTCGTAAATCCTGGGAAAACATTAATTGTTTGTTATTTGCAAACAAATTGAAATTAAATTAATAATAAAAGAATTTTAGGTTAATATAAGATGTAACATAAACCTAGAGTACATACTATATATCTCAGATTTGGTTTTTAACGAGGCCAGCGAAGTTTTAAATGTAAACAAAACTCTTAACTCAATTACGATTCCTAGGTCTCTTAATATTCATCAGCTAGGTGTTCGAGAACAGGTAAAAAAAAATATATTTTGATTTTTTTTTTTATTTTATGGTTTTAAGCATTTGCCATTGACTTTGGTGCTATTTTATCCAAGAATATCAGTTGAACCCCAAACCCTAAAATTTGATAATGTTTTAATTGATTGTACGAAGAAAATGCTTTTGGTTGTGAAGAATTTAACAGGTAACTATTTTAATTTAAAATTTTTAAAATATATATTCCTGGTCTTAATTTAGGTTTTTATTCGGTATGCATAATTAATATTAATTATCCATTGCTGTTGTCAAAGTAACCCGTGAGGTTTTATTAAAGTATGATTTCAAATGATATATTGACATTGACGTTCACATTATATATTGAGTGGATATATCCATTATATTATTATAAGTCTTGTTTGTCTATAATAATAATAATGTTTTATTTCTGTCTAAAATTATTAATAAACTTAAAATTTTAAGGTGCTATTATTGAATTTACTGTTTTAAAGACAATTTCAAACAATGTAATAAGATGTTCTCCAAACAAAGGAATTATAGAGAAATCTACAGGAAATAATTTTCAAACAGCCAATATATTCGTGTACTTTACACCTTCGTAAGTATTTTTTTTATGAAAACATTTAGGATTATTTCGTATAAGATTTAAATTTAGCGGATTGTTTCGTATAAGATTTAAATTTGGCGAATGCCCTGGGATTAATATTTCTATAAATATACAGAACAGCAATAAAAAGTTTAATTTATTTATTTTTGCATCTTAGATTAAATACTGGGACGTTTATAGATCGTCAGAGGGAGCAAGGAAGGGTTAGCTTCTTAAAATGTTTAATCATATATTATATCACGAGAACTAATCGGTTAAACTAGGCGCAGTAGTTTTTTGTTTGGTTTTTGTTGGAAAATGTTGAATGCAAAATAATTTAATTATTTTGCATGAAACTATTTTCCAAAAAAGAAAAATCAAATAAAAAACTTACTGAGCATAGTTTGACAGATTAAACTTATAGGTTGAGTGATATACGTCTAGATTATTTCTCGAATTAAAGGAAACTATTTGACAAATTATAAAATCTGACGTATGTGTCAAAATTTATAAATATTTTTTTAAAGAAAATTCCATTAATTTAAGGTATGTAATAAGTAATAATTGATATTTCGTAAACTAGATAAGTTATTTTTTAATGTTTTTTAAAAAATGTTTGTTAAAACTTGTAAATAACACCATAAAATCGTAAACAAAAATCCAATATGGAGGCTAAAATTTAATCCCTGTTAAATAATTCTAGTGATTTAATCGCTTATTTAAACGAAATTTATTCGAAAATTTAAGGCTTTTGATTGGTTCATATTATAATGAGGGAAATAATCATTATAATTATTTTAATTAAATACCTACGTTTTATATACTTTTATATTTATATATTTTAATAATAATTTTAAGTTTTCCGTTGTTTAATAATAAATAAAAATACAGAATCACGCGCTTTACAATCGGACCATACATACTAAACTACGTCACAAAGGAGGCTACGATTCCGAAACTTCCGTTGATAAACTTTTGACATAATCTGTCGTTTTTTTTATTAATTGCGATTTTATAGACGCTTAAGCTCAAGGTACAACCTTTTTTGATTTAGAAATTAGGTAAGTACCTATATCAAGGTGAAACAATAACAAATGTTTTTCACTAATCTTTTATTACCTATAATTGAATTTATAATATTATCTAAATAATTTATATATTCTTGTTATTCTTAATAGGGGGATTATTTTCAAAAACCCATAACAAATTATGAATTTTATCGATTTTTTTTACAATTATATTATATAACTTTTATACGAGTAATATTACTCAATAGTCATTGCATTATTAGATAATAGATTCTTTAGATAAATAAAGTCACGGGCCGTGACTCACGGCTTATACAGAGTGTCCCAGACACACAGAGAAAAAGGGAACGTGCCGAAAGTTATGCAAAAAACATACTTGAAAATTAAAATTATCTAACGCAAGGATAAGCGAGATAAGAATAAAAACGATAGCCAATCCCAATGCATGGCCATAGGAAATTTTTAAAATTGCCAGAATACTAATGATGCATTGTTGATATTATAATATGTAAAATATTTGGTCCACTGCAATGCACTTTATTTTGACACTGCTGTCAATTTTTGTTCCTGTAATTATTTATTATTTTAACTTATGTTTTTCTCCTCTGATTATGCCGTCACAGTAACTGTTCAGCGGGTTATGCGTTCATTTTGGCTCTAAAAAACTAAAACATGGCGTCCTGAAGTATGACATTCCTTTTTGAAACGTAAAGTAAACACTTTTAAAAGTTTTATGACAACAATGTTCTACCGTCTCCTAGCAATGTTTAAAGCTTCTACGTTTAACCTAGACGAGAGCTCTCGGTACTGGCAGCCCCTTTTTGCTCTCATTTGATTGCACCATTAATTTTTAAATTTGGATCCATCAATATCAGCACGCCCCCTTTTTCTCTGTGGCGCGAGTTCTGGTACATCCTTTATATGCATTAAAATGTGTTAAAAATTGCAAGCGAATATCATTTGCAGTTTTTATTTAAATTAATTTTGGATCACAGTCCAGTGTGCGGTACAGGAAAGTTTTTTATTGGTCCATTTCGAAATTCGAATACTTTATTAATTAACACACCATACACAAACAAAAATCATGAACGGGTAGCGCTCTCGCTAGGGGACTTTTCAAAAAAGTTTTATATCGAACTTAAATCAATATACGGGGTGTCCAGAAAGGGTAGGGGGTATTTGTAAGTTCAATAAAAATAAAACTACAAGTCAGAAAAAAATATTTTTTTTTAAATTTTTAGACAAAGTTTTGGAAAATTAAGTGCCAAAGATTTTGTTGTCCAAATGTTGACCCTCGCGCTGCTGGCATTCCTCTAACCCAAAACGGAAATTCACTATTACGCCTCTACACATATCTCTGTAAACAGCGCGCCATTTCAGTGCGGATCTTGTGCAGGAAAATTTGTGGTCAGTTTTTATAAACTTTATCTTTAAGGTTTCCTCATAAAAAAAATAATCAAATGGTGTAAGATCGGCGCTTCTCGGAAGCCAGTTAATGGTGCCACGTCGAGAGATCACTTTTTTCGGGATAATTTGATTGAAAACCTTAAGTGACTGATTTAAGGGGTGGCAAGGGGCCCCATCTTGTTGAAACCATCTTTCCACATTAAAACCTTCAAACTTCTGCAGTTGTGGAATCAAAAAGTTTCTTTAACATGTCGCAATACCGTTCACTGCAGTGAACGGTTAACCTGTTTACCGTAACCCAGATAGCACAAAGAAGTACTGGAAACGTCCTGAGTATATCTTGTATCAGACATTAGTAAGTTCCGAGTACGTCCGAATCAGGTCCTGAACCTTCCCCAGGACGTACCAGGGACATCCGATGTTACCATATCGTCGGTCCCCAGAACGTCCTAAGTAAGACATCCTCTGGCCGTCCTGAAATGCTTTATTGGGAACTATTGGACAAGCTTTACAGAATTGAAGAGTGGTATTCCCAAAGGGTCTAAGTGACAAAATAGTAGATTATGTCATAAGGAGTAGAAGTGACTTTTTTGTGGTGAGTACAGAGATTGACGGCCGAAGAGTAGCTAAAGCAGGCAACTGTACGAACCACAAAAAGAGCTTCTACTCCAAATAACATATACTATTTTTTTCAAGGGCGTAATATAAATAGGATAAGCAATAGAATTATTTTATTTACTTAAATTTACATTAAATGTAGGTAAATTACTAGAGGCTAAATGTAGCAAAGTATTCCTCAAGGTTATGACGATTAGCTGTCATTTTGGTTATGCAGGTACACTGCATTGTGCCATACCAAACTAACCCAAACTTAACAACCCAACCCAACCGACCCCGCCCCATTGGGCCCCTCCTGCCCCATTGTCACAATCCAGCCTACCCTTAGATATATTATACCTCTATTGCTCAATGGGGCGGGAGGGGCCCAATGGGGCGGGGTCGGTTGGGTTGGTTTGTTAAGTTTGGGTTGGTTTGGGATGGCACAATGCAGTGTACCTGCATAATCAAGATGACAGTTAATCGTCATAACCTTGAGGAATACTTTGCTACATTTAGCCTCTAGTCAATTACACGCACTACAGCTCTTCAATTAAATCACTTATGTGGGATAAAATTTTGGCTAAATGCATTAGAAATTATTGATAAAAACTAAAAAAACTAATAACCCTTACTTACAATGCCGATAAATTTCCTAAACTAAAAATAAACACTGCTCTGTCAAAATGCTGCGATGAATTAATTTTGACGTACCTACTGACATTTGTTTGGAGTTCCGACATTGGCGACTCGTCTATCATCATAATATTATACTAATAAACTAGTTGTTCTTTATTTCGTTCAATTAAAATTTAATAAATAATCAATAAATATTCCTTGCAATTATAATTAATATAATTAATACATCGTGATTGCTTAAGCAATACAAATTTGTATGAAATGCTAAATTAATTTTATTATTTGACGTCTATTGAGTCACCTATGGATTTACTTCTATCCCTAGGCTTTTTTGAGTTTTTTGTCTGCCGCTAATGAAAAAGGCGCACTTCAAATATCTCTATACATGCATATAAGGTTGTATATTATGGTGGCTTGAAAAAAAATAAAATTGACAAATGACAAACAAATATTTTGCACATATAAATGTTGGAATATTTTTTAAGTCATTCTGCATGACACAAACTATTTTTAAATGATAATATATTATTTAACCAACTTGGCACTTGGACCCTTCAGAAAGTTTATGAAAATAGACCACGAACTCTCCTGCAATTGAAGCACAACATCCGCAACGAAATGGCCGTTGTTTTCAGAGATATGAGTAGACGCGTGATAGTGAATTTCCGTTTTCGGTTAGAGAAATGCTAGCAGCGCGAGGGTCAAGATTTGGACAACAAAATCTTTGGAACTTAATTTTCCAAAACTTTGTCTAAAAATTAAAAAAAAAAATATTTCTTTCTGACTTGTTTTATTTTTATTGAATTTACAAATACCCCATACCCTTTCAGGACACCCTGTATATATAATATATATATATATATATATATATATAATATATATATATATATATATATATATATATATATATATATATATATGTATATATAATATTAATTTTTATATCGATAAAAGCAGAATTAGAAAGGCCACATTTTTTTACATAGAAGGTAAATTTGGGTGGTGGTTACATAAGGAATTTTTTAGCCAAATGACCAAATAAAATGTTTGAATTGGGCACCTTTAAGAATCTGACAATCGCCAAGGCTATAAATAAATTTTACCCCTCCATGCATCCTTTGTTTGTTTGTTGTTTTGTTATAACTATATATAGTATTGTCCAGAAGTTTTAAGCTGTGGTTAAGCTATTTTATAAATTTACATAAATTCTTGAAGGGTGGGCAGAAATTCAGTTAACATAGGTCCCCAAAAAAACACGATCCACCGCTGGGTTTAACGTTGCGCTTTAAGCCTCATTCAGAACCTCGTATTTAGTGGAATAAATTAGTGGTTTCAATTAGCGTTAATGTTTGTCTTAAGGTGCGTACTGACTTGCAACAAAACACTCCGAACGAACCAAACGCACCGCGCGCGCTGCGCCGAATGCCACAAACATGTTTGTGAAGGTTCGTGCCGTTCGCGAGCATTTGCTGTGTTCGTCGCGTTCCCGCATTTGGTGTGTTCGTCAGGATGGATGCAGATGATTTAATAATAATAGCGGCTGGTGCTTTTTTAATTATAAGTGCTTTAGTTAGTAATAAGAAGAAGAAAAAAAGAAAAGAGTGGTCAAGACGTCTCTTTTTGCGTCGTAGAAATTTGGAACTACTCAGGGATATGGATCATATTCATTTACAAAATTTATTAAAATACAGCCCATTTTTGGCATCCCATAATAAAGGGTGCTTTTCATATTCATTTATTAATTGAAGGCACTTTTCCCTGCTCCATTCCATCTTTGCACTTTTAATAATTAATTTAAATAAACAAACAGGCCAAACACGGCAAACACACGTTCTCACTGCAAAGTTGCGAACTAATCGTTCGGCGAAAATCTCTTTGCGCAAATCCGATTTACCGACAATCGCCCGAAAAAGTTTGGCGCGTTCCGTTCTGTTCGGCGCGAGGTTCTCACTGGCACAATTTGTTGCAGCGCGCGCGGCGCGTTTGGATCGTTCGGAGTGTTTTGTTGCAAGTCAGTACGCACCTTAAAGGTGCGTACACAGTGTTGTTCACAACCAAAAAATTAGTGGTGGTACTTTTCAATAAGTGGAAACTTTTACCACTAATTATAATTGGAAAGCGGCTTTGCGCATGTCAAAAGAAAAAAGTTTGAAGATTTGCCAGTGAAGGAAAGTTTATATAAATATTATTGTAATGGTTGTAAAAAACATTATTTTATTATAATTAATATTGTTCATGTGGGGGCCACGGGTAGCGCAGTGGGTTAGGCGACTATGCCGAGACAAACTGCGTCCGAAGGTATACCTTATAGCGGGTTCGATTCCCGGTCACAGCCTTGGGTGTTGTGCGCGTTGAAAGTCGGTAGATGAGTCTAACTCATCGAGGACAGTGGTTCGGATTCCACGTTAAAGAGTAGGTCCCGCTGAAGAACCGAACCTTATAGGCTTTGCCTGTAAGCTGGATAGGTTGATGGCGTTACTACTCTACTATTGTTCATGTCAGGTTAAGAAGACTTGACAATCTTTTAGCAAATTCCCTTAATTTTAGATGTTAATTTTGCGCATTGTGTTAATTATAAGTATAATTGAAACCACTAATTTTTTCCACTAATTTAGAGGTTCTGAATAAGGCTTTAAAATAGTCTTGTAACTTTTCTTACGTATTTTCAACGTGGATATGTATGTAGACAACCAAGAATACAGATTACTTTTAAAATTGGAGAACCGCTTCATTCCCAGGGCGAAATTTAAATTTGAATATCAGTTTGGTCAAATTTGGGTTTGACCAATTTTTACATTGAACTTCTTAATTATAAAGGGTGTCCAATTAGGTACGCTCGATGTTTGATAGGCGGCTATGGCTAAGTCAGTACAGATACAGCTGTCAAATATTTTGAAGTTTTGTTGGCATATTATGACATTTGATAATGGAGCGTTACACGGTTGCTCAACGCATTCAAATTATTCAAATTTACCAACAAAATCAATGTTTAATTCGCCAAACGTTTCAACGGCGTCATTTCACGCGGCGGCGATATCCAGTGGCCAACGAGATCATGCGATCTAACGCCGCTGGACTTTTTTGTGGGGCTACGTAAAGTCCCTTGTGTACCTGAATAATTATTCTTATATATTATATTATATTATAAGCCACGAACAATTGAAGCACTGAAGGCCAACATTACTCGTATAATAAATGAAATCGAACCCCGGGTCGGAACCCGAAATGTGCGAAAAAGTGATAGAAAATTTGACCTGCAGAATGCGCGCTGTGGAGCGCAGCCGCGGGGGCATTTGAAAGATGTTATGTTTCATAATTAATGCCATAGGATGTTCTTTTAAATAAATATTTTTTTTTCCTAATATCTTAAGTGTAGTTTGTTTTATTTCATTTTAAAGTTAGAGCACTCTTAAGTGGACACCCTTTATATGTTATTTTAATTAAAAAGTTTCTTCGCGCAAACTTGATCCAGTAAAGACTCTTCACTGAAGAGTATATAATATATTATAAATTATACTATTATATACTCAGTACTGAAACAATAAATTTTTATATTTATTTATATTATAATTACATACTTACGGAGAGGCGGCAGTAAGTCACATTTTATCTGCATTAAATTAATAATGCAAAAAAAATAACTTTTTGAAAATATAAATACTTACCTATATATTTTGTTTTAGAAGTACAGAATTGATTTGTGAAGGAATAAGAATTGCGACTAATATACCAAACTATTTTATAGATGTAATAGTTAATGGCTCTGGAATATACAATGAAAAATTCTATGTACACCATAAAATATAAAATACAAAAAAAATGTATATACCTAGTATATTAAACCTCAATTTATGTTATCTCTTTTATAAAACCAGCAATGAAAAAACCAACGGAGTCAACATTATCAGTGCAATCAAATCTTTGTACAAGCCGTCTTTGATCCTCGTTTAAAGCAGAGCCCTGCCAGCCATGACTTCCTAAGTGAAACTTTTGATGTACCAGCCTAAGACAACTAAAATTTTTAAGAGCCCATGCTATCAAACCTTCGTTTTCAGCTAGAGTTATTGTGCAAGTACTAAATACCAATGTTCCATTTGGTTTTAACAAATTGACAGCCTAAAAAATATGTTTAAATACATAATTATATATAATTTTTTATTACTAACCGTTTCAAATAGTTTTCTTTGTAAAGGCACGTATGATTTAATAACTTTTTCAGTTGTGTTATTATAAAGTTGCGGCCTTTTTCCTAAAGCGCTACAAGGCGCATCCAATAAGATTCTGTCAAATGACTCCGACTTAAACGGAGGACCTTCGTGTATTTCATTGGATGCATTATCATCTAATATTTTGGTAGAATCTGCTTGGTATACATATACTTTAGCATCAAATTCCTCACAATTTTTTAGTAGTCTTTTTACTTTTACAAGAGTTTTGTCCAAAGCAACTAAGATACCCTACAAAATAAATTTGTGTTATTTTGAAAGTTCTAGTTTTTGCTAATGATTTGCAATTTTATTTTAAATTTGTTTTACATTACATTTACATTTGCTTCATCTATAAAATTCAAAATAATATATTTTGGGCAAAGCCATAGCAATAACACTTACACACAGTATTAATTCTATGGGTAAAGCTTTTGGTGGGTCTCTGTCGATTAGGGTGGGTTGAAAACAAAATGTTTTTTTTGTAGAAATTGTACCTTATAAAAAGAGAAAATTTCTCAAAAGAAAAAAAAATTTTTACTCAACATCTTGAGGTGGCCCACTCGTTTTTTAAATAAATATTTAATCAAATGGGGTAGTTCCAGCGGGAAATTCTTTTTTTGGTCCAAAATCGTGGAAAACATGTAAAAATTGTAGAATTTCATTCTAATATTAAAGAAAGTGCACTTAATTTTTTAATTTTTTACTTAAATTACAAAAACAATGAAAAAAAAAACGTTTTCAACTTTTGACTTCCAATTGGCTTTTAAGGGGACACCCTACAGATTCTAGAACGAAAAAAAGAATTTTCCGTTGGAACTACCCCATTTGATTAAATATTTACTTAAAAAACGAGTGATCAAGGGTTATTTTATAGGAGGAATAATGTTCTGGATATTTAGATTGCCACTCCTCGCAGTTTATTTGGGATTCTGGGAATTGTTTTTTAAGATAATCACTTAAGTCGCTTGATTTCGTTTTTGGATCCAGCCTCGAAACATATATACCTATATATGATTTTCTCGGTACCACCTTTAGCGAGCAACTCGATGAATCTTTCATGACACCAACAACTTGTGTAGTATTGTTTTTTTTCTTTTTTTTTAACCACCTCCACCCAATCAGATTTTGGTTTAATGCTTTTCGGATTATCTTTATCAAGATTTATAACTTTCTCACATAAATTATTGGTTGTTGCCTCTAATATGGCTGTGGAAACTTGTTTTTCTGTGATTATTAATTTTTTTTCGTTAGCTACCGTTTATTGTGACTTGAATATTTATGTTAGTAGAGGATTTTATATTATTTTTTTGATTTTTTGTATTTTTATTATTATTGCTATTTACTGACTTAATCAGTTCCATTTGCTCTATAAGCGAGTTAATCGTAATAGTTTGGTTATCTATTAGTACCTAAATCTTTTTCTTTGATCAGTTCTTTAAGATAATAAATTTCAACAATTAACGCATCATCGCCTACAGCGTTGGGCACATTATCTTGTAAAAGATTTTGAGATTGATTTTCAATCCCATCGCAGCAAATAGTTTCCTTGGTGTCACTTACTAGTGTCACATAAACTATTTTTTCACAAGTTAGTAAGCACATTATGCACATTTTTGTTAAGGTTTAGAGTCACTTTTAATTATAAAATCCATAGTATAAGAAGAATATATCGGAGCACTCATGAGTGCTCATGTGTTCATGCATGAACACAACCGACACATTCGAACATATATAACTGTAATACGATGAATGAAATGAACTGTAATACGATGAATGAAATGACTGTAATATTTGTGAACGTGATGTATTTGATGAATTGTCTAAATTAAATATTTCTAAGGGTGCTGGTCCTGATGTTATCCCTTCTTTAATTCTTAAAGAATGTAGGTTTTCCTTGGTAAAACCCCTACATGAGCTGTTGAACATACATATCTCTAAATAATTAATCTGTATTATACCCCTTCACAAAACTAGTATTAACAATAATTGTTATATTTAATGGACTAATTTCAAAATTTTTACAGATTCCGAAGATATTGGAAAAAATTGTAAAATAACGCCTTTGTCTTGATCAAAGAACAGCACGGTTTTTGCAGGGGTAAATCTACGGCAAGTCATTTGATTCTTTTTCATCAAGACTTGATGAATACTTTGGAAAATCAAAGTCAAGTAGATGTTATCTACACTGACTTTTCTAAAGCATTCGACATCGTTAATTATAATATCCTACTAAGAAAATAAAAAGCCTTGGTAATAACTGGCAATTTATTATATATTATATATTATATATATTATTAAAGTCACAGGACACAAATAGTACTTATTAATAATCAATTTAGAAGCAAAACAATTAGTGTTACGTCAGGTGTTCCTCAAGGTGGACATCTCTCTCCACTTTTGTTTAATTGTTTTTGCTGGTGACTTGAAGCTTTACAAAGTTGTTTAGAAGTTAAAGACTGCTGTGATATTCAGGAAGATCTGAATCAACTTCAAATATGGTATGATATAAATTTAATGAAACTTAATGTGAATAAATGTAAAATCATACATTTTTATAGAGTTAAAATGCTGCTTGTCTGTATAGTTTTAATTCTGTTGATTTTGAAAATGTACGTGTAATCAAAGACATTTATCAAATGGTTAACAGAGATCTAAAAATGCTGGGTTTTTTTAAAACGTAGCTTAAGAGATTTTAACAATATTTATTATATAAAAAATGAATATATGTCCTTTGTACGTAACATCCTAAAATATTGTTGTGTTGTTTGGTCACCACATTTTTCAAATTTGGAAAACAACATTGAAAAAGTTCAGAACAAGTTCCTTTGTTTTTGTGCTTATAACCCAGCTATATATAGCTGCTATAGCACAAGTCTACATCGGACGTGTTCAGCTTAAAACAAGAAAAAACATCTTCCTTAGCTGAAAACGTCAGAAAAACATGAAACATGAAATTGACTTTGAAAAAACCAGGTTCTTGGCTAGCATCGAACACAGGACCAAACGTACCATCCGTGAAGCCATTGAAATAAAAAAACGTCCAAGAAACCTCAACACACGAGACGATACAGAGAGACTACCAACTGCATGGAAACCAGCTCTTACAACCACCAAAACGCAGATTAACGAGATCAATGGAGCCGAAAATAACACAGGTTCAATCGCAGTCACGGTTAATGACGCGGAAAGCTAAGAAGGTATATAAACAACGATCAGCGGCAACGGAGCTCACTCCACGTTTAACTCGCAGTAGAGCAGCAACAGCAGCCCAGCAGATAAAACCTGAAGATGGTACGTGATATTGTACCGAAACGTCGTCAGACATACGGTTCTTTTAAGAACCATGGTTTTGCAAAAACCGACAACACGGAGCAGATCCCGAAAAACCACTAATATATATATATATATATATATATATATATATATATATATATATATATTAGGGTGTTTCAAAAAAATCGACCTTTTCTTTTTCTTCAAATGGTCGGCAAATTCTTTCAGAGGATGTCAACACAAAGTCCTCGTCAAAATTTGAGCTTTTAATTTGAAGATTTAGAGGTCTCGGATCGCAATTTTCTATTTCCCATTTAAATAACATGGGAATTTTTTTTTTTTAACTTTGAAATTTTATACGTCTGAATCGAATCAACTTAAGTCAAGGATCATCTTAGATTTTCATAGTAAATTTAACGCTCTACAAAAACGGACTCCTAACATTTTTCTATAAATTGATTCCTTCCAGAGTTATTCGAGGCCAAAGTTTGATTTCCATCGAATTTTCGCGTTTTTTTAACATTTTTGGTACAATTATCATTATACGGGTGTCCCGAAATTAGGGGGCCAAACTTAAACAGTGCATTATTCGTATAAAAATAACACTTTTTTGTTTAATAAACATGTATCAAAAAATGCTCCCTAAAGGAGCTACGGCCCCCTGATAGGAGCCTAAGAGGATAATTTTTTTAAAACTATTCCTAGAGGGTTGAACATGAACAAATTAATTTTTGGTACTTTGGTAATTTTGACATGCTGAATCTAGATCTATGATCAAAACTGTTAAAATTTAATCATAGGCGTAACATTTGGACTTTTTTCTGGGTTAATAATTTAATTTTTTTTATGAAATTATGAGAATTTATAGTTTTTTACGAAAAATAGGTACTCTTGATTTGAATTGCTCAGAGGCACCATATTCGAGAAAAATGCATTTATATATAAATTACTCTGCATATTATACACATCTCATATTTTCATTAAAACTTTGTAGTAGGCTTTGGAAAAAAGTGACTTTTTTTTGTTTTTTTGTTTTTTTACAACACTTCCTATGTTTCAGATATAAATATGTGATTTTTTTACTACATGATCAAAGATTAAATATACTCTTAATATATAATTAATAATATATATAATTAATATATATCTTAGTATATTTAATCTTTGACATGATGCTAAAAGTTGAAAAAACGAGAAAATTCGATGGAAATCAAACTTTGGCCTCGAATAACTCTGGAAGAAATCAATTTATAGAAAAATTATAAGAGACATTTTTTATAGAGCGTTAAATTTACTATAAAAATCTAAGATGTTCCTTGCCATAAGTTGATTCGATTCAGACGTATAAAATTTCAAAGTTAAAAAAAAAATTCCCATGTTAATTAAATGGGAAATTTACTGAAATTGTTTTTTTTTTGGGGGATTACTTTGGATTTACAGGAAAACGCAAAAATAATTACACAAGCATCCAAAATAACCCCCTGCTCCCAGTTTTTGTCGTGATTTTTTGTGGTAATACTTTCTTTTAAGCTTAGTGTTTCCTCTTTTAATCCTACTATTTTATTTTAAAATAAGCTTCCATACACCTGTGGAACTAAGTAATACCTAGTAGGTACTTACTTTATTACGGTACTTACTTTATTTTTCATCAAGGCAGCTATATGCGTAGTTTTGTTTCCAGGTGATGCGCACATGTCTAAAATGGTCTCCCCAGGTTGGGGATTCAGATTTTTAACACAAATGATTGATGGTAAGTTTTGAAGTAGAACCAGCCCATCGTCTAATATTTTATCTCCTATTGGTGGGCATCCGGATATTGTTTCCGTGACTTCAATAGCAATTCCGCTAAATCATTTATATATTTTAAACATATCGAACAAAGTAAAGACCTGACTCCTGAAATTCAAATCGAGAGTATTTTAAATTTCATTTGACAGGTATCGCGACTGTTGTAGGTGGGCTTTGAAATATGACCCTCCATTGGCAGGCTGCCAACAATTACAATATCGTTTGTGTCGTCGTAAGACGGGTCGTCAATTTTATTTATATATATGTAAATATATATAAATATATTTATTTATTATTTCACTTGAAATTTATATTGCAGCGAGTTTATTAAACATATCACAATGCAGATATTTAATTCAATTATGAGAAACCAATCCCAAAAGCATATTTTTAATTCTGACGACCCGTCATGACGATATCGTCGACGATAAAAGTGACGCGTCATGACTTGCCGATTAGGGTTGCCAACTTTGGTTTGTCGAAATAAAGGACACTCGGCCCCGTAGATAATTTTTTTTTGGTGCAACGTAGGGGAAGCAGTGCCTGTTTTTCTATAGGAGCACATGAGCCCCTGCACCCCCATACAGAGTTTTAAAGTAATAATAAAATGTTTAATTTATAATTTACATTATTTTTCGTAAAATTTCTTAACTCCCTTAATAATTATTATCGCACCGTTCCCAAGCGCTTTAATAATTATCTCGCCTCGCGCGCTCTCGTCGAAACGGAATAAAACGAACAAACTTTGATGACGAAGAACGGTCGCAAATGTGATAAAGTAGGCAGGGCCTATGCAGCTTTTCTGTATTTAAAGCAAATATAGAGTATATATTTACTAGAGTAGGTACCCTGCTGAAAAAGACGGGTAATATCGGATGATTGCGGATAAAAAACCGAGCTAGCTTTATGTCCATTTATATCTGTTTTCATCCGACATATCTGATTTTACGCGGCATGTCGGTTTTCATCTGTTTTATCTACTTAGTTCTATGTCTGCTTTCGTCTGGTTTCACCCGCAAATACCTGTATTTGGGTTTATATCTAGCATAGTATAGCATTGACCCGGTTTTATCTGCAAATACTTGCTTTCGTCTGTTTTTACTCGGTTTTAACTGCGTTTGCCCTTATTTACTTCTTTGTCTGCTTACTTCCGGTTTTATCCGGATTATCTGATTTAATCCGGTTTCACTTGCAAACATCTGTTTTTATCTGCGAACGTCTGATTTCATCCGCAAACATCCATTTAAATCCGCAAAACATCTGCTTTTATACGCGAAGATCTACTTTCATCCGCGAACGTCTGCTTTAATCCGAAAACATCTAATTTAGTCTGCAAAAGTCTGCTTCATCAGATTTCACCTGCAAACATTGCTTTTATCCTCGAACTTTTATCTGTGAACGTCTGCTTTAATCCGCAAACATCTGTTTTAATCCGCAAACATCCGCTTTTATCCACAAACATTTGTATTTATCCGCGAACGTCTACTTTAATCCGCAAACATATGCTTTAATCCGCAAACATATGCTTTTATCCGCAAACATGTGCTTTAATCCGCGAAGGTCTGCTTTTATTTGTAAACGCCTGCTGTAATCCGAAAACATCAGATTTCATCCGCAAACATCTACCTAAATCCGCAAACATTTGTTTTTATCCGCAAACATCTGCTTTTGTCCTGATTTACTTGCAAACATCTGCTTTCATCTGCGACCGTCTGCATTCATCCGTAAACATCTACGTCTACATCTACTTTAATCCCGAAAAGTCTGCTTCATTCTATTTGACCTGCAAACATCTGCTTTTATCCGCGAAGATTTGCTTTTATTTGCGAACGTCTGATTTAATCCGCAAACATCTGCTTTCGTCCGATTTCACCTGCAAACATCTGCTTTAATGCGCATACGTCTGCATTCATCCGTTAACATTTACTTTAATCCGCAAAAGTCTGCTTCATCCGATTTTACCTGCAAACATATGCTTTTATCCGCGAAGATCTGCTTTTATCTGTGAACGTCTGCTATTATCCGCGAACATCCGTGAACGGCTAACAACTAGTTAGTTAAAGCTCAGTAAAATTTGACACAGCAGGCAAATTAAACTAAAGTATAGTAGACGTAAAGCGCGAATGAAACCAGACGTTTGCGGACGTAACGGGATAAAACTGAACGCAGGTAAAAGCAAAGGTTTGCAATTAAAAGCAGATGTTTGTAGCTGAAATCGGACGAAAGCAGATGTACGCGGATAAAAGCAGATATTTGCGGGTAAAAGCAGATGCTCGCGGATAAAACCAGACATTTTCAGATGAAACCCGACAAAAAAAGACGAAAAAAATGTAGGTAATCGCGGATAAAACCAGACGTAAGCAGATGATCCCGGACAAATGCAGATATAAACGAAACGCAGTAGAGCCGGTCAAAAGAATATAATTAATGATGATTGCGGGGGTGTACTATCCGGGCATAAAACGGATATAGCGATGCGGACATAAGCAGATGTTATCAAATGATATGTTTACCCGCTTTTATCCGGCTTCGACGAAGAATTTATATCCGCAAACTGCTTTTATCCGGTTTGGATGAAGAATTTATATCCGCAATTATCAGTCATTTTCAGCAGGGTATATATATTCTTAGCCTGCAGGTGGCGGGGGAAACGCAATTTTTTAAATGGAAACATTTAGTGTGCTCCAAAATAAGTTTGCCACAGATTACCTTGTTTTAATTTCGTAATTCGAAGTGCGTTCCTGCGTTTAGCGATTTTATAAAAGCTTGTATTATAATACAACTGAAATATTAATGAAACAGAGAACTAATAACCAATATGACTAATAATTATTAGTCATATTGGTTATTAGTTCTCTGTTTCATTAATATTTCAGTTTTGAGGCTATTATTGACAAGTTCGCTGCAAATAAAGACAGAAGAATGGATTTTACGTTTAAACATTGTAAATGAGAAAATATAAATTAGCATTTTGTTCTTTTTTAATATAATATTTTTTATTGTTTTAAAAGCTTAAAAAAGTAATAATAATCGTACAAGCCACTGCTACTGCTTTTTTTAATTTGTGAACCCCCTTTATTGTAGATCACGAGCCGCCACTGCTGGGAAGGTAGTTTTTATAAAAAAACTTAAAATCAGAGATCATTGTCCCTGCTTGAAACAGTGTTTTTTAAACATCGCAGAATTATTGCAAATTTGATTGATATTGGGAAAAATATTTTTTATTTAAACAACTGTTAAAGATGTCGATTGAAATAAATAATTAAATGATTTGTCATCAAAAAGCCGCGATACGGGTCGAATTAAATTTAAAATACTTTTGAATTTGAATTTTTAGGGCCATGACCCCTTGTAAGAGGAAATCTTATAAAATAAATCATATAACCATAACTATAAATTTTAAATAAATTCCCTAGAGAATTTATTTAACAATAATAATAATAATAATTGTTCATTTCTTAACCCATGGCACAATATACTATTATTAGTATTATTTAACATCCATTTTATTTCTTAACTTTAACCGGTGGGCGAAATAGCATTAAGCCCACGGGCTGAAGTTAGCTAGCTTTAAATGAAGTTAAAAATTCTTGACAGCTGTCAGATGTCGTATAAAATATCAAATTAAATTAGCTTTAAATTCCTTGTAGTACTTAAATAAAATATTGTGTGCGACTATTGGTCCAAAGAGGAGATTCGCGTATTGCCGGAATCTTGAGGAACCTTCTCTTTCTACCACTAATGCACAATATGTACCTTGGTTTAATGTCTTCTCCAAAAAGTTCAAATCTTCTCATTTTTACCAATCCGTTTCCAATAAACAATTTATTTTCGTCAGTATATGTTTTTTGAAAACCTTTCTTGCATTTTTTTGATAAATCGGCGTATATGCTTATTTTATCATTTAACTGAACACCTTAAAAATCGTTTAAAATCGTTTAATATATTATAATCAATAAACAAAAAAGCAAAATAACTTAAACAAATCACTTGATGTTTAAAACTGCTGGATTTAAAAATTAAACGTACCTACGTATGTTAAAAAAGACATTACCCAGTAAGCCCGCGTACGGACCAAATACGTTTGGGCGAATTGGCCGTGTCCGGTCCGTAGCACGTATGAGATTCGGCCTAAGTAAAAGGACTTTTGGAGAAGTAGTTTCAACTTTGGACTCTTATGACTTTTTTCCAGTAGATTGGAGGGTTTGAATTGATATAGACTTACTTAAGAGTAAACATTATAATGTTAGTTATAACTACACAGTAAAAAAAGCTTCACACTAGGCTTCACTAGAGAGCACTACCCTATTGTAAATGACCGATAGAATCCAATAAAAAATAAGTAATTGGTTTGAAATGTGTTTTGGCGCTATGAATCACCAATTCATTCCAGTTGCATTCCTATTGGTAAGTTCCAATGAAGTCAGCGGCTTAAATTGGAATATATTATTATATATTGGTATATAGTTACGGCTAATGTGCAAACTTGGATAGTTTATAAACTAGCTGGATAGTTTATAAACTAGCCAAACTGTCAGCTATTTTAATTGAAAATGTATTTTCAACTAAATTAGCGGCTAGTTTACAAAATAACCAAGGTTCTTGGCTAATTTACTTGAAATTATTAGGGAAACTAAAATAGCTGGATAGTTTGTATACTATCCAATTCAATTTGGCTAATATGAAAACCAAAATTTGTAGTAACACAAAATAGCCAAGCTTTAGCTAGTTTGTAAACTAACCAACTAATTCTATGGCTATTGCCCATTTTAGTTGGGTTTTTTGCTCAATGGGGCGGGGGGCCCAATGGGGCGGGGTCGGTTGGGTTGTGTTGTGTTGTTGAGTTTGGGTTGGTTTGGTTTGGTTTTTTTTCTCTCATTTTTGACCATTTGACCAAAAGGGCGGGGGGGGGAAATGGGGCGGGGTCGGTAGGGTTGTGTCGTTGAGTTTTCTAACAAGGAAGCGTTAAAATTTTGCCTATGATTCATTTTAAAAACGTTAAAATGCACAAAACAAATCCGGTTAAGCCGGCAGAACGAAAAACAATGCCGTAACCTCACTTTTTTAATAAATTAGCCAGAGAATTGGTTGGTTAGTTTACAAACTAGCTAAAGCTTGGCTATTTTGTGTTACTAGAAATTTTGGTTTTCATATTAGCCAAACTGAATTGGATAGTATACAAACTATCCAGCTATTTTAGTTTCCCTAATAATTTCAAGTAAATTAGCCAAGATCCTTGGTTATTTTGTAAACTAGCCGCTAATTTAGTTGAAAATATGTTTTCAATTAAAATAGCTGACAGTTTGGCTAGTATATAAACTATCCAGCTAGTTTATAAACTATCCAAGTTTGCACATTAGCCATAACATCAGTGGCGGATTTACAAATTTTCAAGGTATAGGCTGAATAGTTTTTGCCGCCCTTGCCTCAACAATTGTCATATCATACATTATTTTTACAATGCAACAATTTCGTTGAAATTGCACGTAATAACAAACTATAAAATGTAGCACCAGTAATATAGGGTGATAATGTAGTATGCTTTAAATCGGTTGCTAACAGTAACAAAGAGTTTTTTTTATTGATTGTCTTGTCTGTCAGTTCAGCATCGTTTTGAATCTGTGGTTTTGAATAATTTCGAATAAAATGGATGCAGAGATTTTGAAAAAAAGTTCTGAAGCGACGGCGAAACTTATCCCGTTCAAGTCTTCCGGACGATATCAAAAGGAATACGAGATATTCTGTAAATGGCGCAAAAACTTATAATCGTTCAGAAATAACCATGTGTTAGTTAAAATATACGAGTCCGGTAAAGTTACTTTACCGGCCTAGTGATGTAATGTATCATTTCCCTGACTCAAATGAGTCCGGGAAATGGCACATTAAAGTACAGTATGAAATAATAGTAATTTACGTTACAAGGCCGGGAAATGGCTTATTAAAGTACGAGCCTAGATGTTTACGGACGAGGCGACGAAGGAGCCGAGTCTGGAATTTCTAGACAAGTACTTTAATGACATTTCACGGCCGTGTATCGTACAATGTTTTATTTAATACTATTCAATATTTTTTTCAAATTTTTGGTACAAAAATTGAACTGTATATTCAGGTGAAGGTGTCAGTAATGTGTCAGTACATGATGGTATCAGTATTGTCTAAACAAACTATAAAATGTAGCACCAGTAATATAGGGTGAAATAAAATAATTTTTCGGTATATTTTTGAGCAAATCGAAGCCCAATCATGTATGGGCGGGGTAATGTATGCTATTTACACAATAATGAACATTTGGTAAACGTGAATAAATAATCTTTATGCACGATGACATTATAATATGACAATTATAACAAAAATTCCTTGACGTAAACGTCTTTTTATAGCCCGCGGGCGTTATTATGACCCAGCGGGTTATAATGAAACGTCAAAAATTAAAAACATTAGGCGCAAAACTATGAGCTTATTTTATTTTAAATTTATATTAACAATACAGTTATTACAATTAGTCATGTTTATGTTGCTTCCTCAATTTCATTCATCTTTAAACTTTAAAACTGACTGATGTCAATAATATTTATGCACGATGACATTATAATATGACAATTATAACAAAAATTCTTTGACGTAAACGTCTTTAAAAACAATAATATATTAAAAATAATAATATATTAATCGTGCATATTTTTTACAATTTCGCTCTTTTCACTCATAAGAAGTGTGGGCAAAGGGCGCAGAGGCGAGAGGCCGATTACTGGTTGAGGGGCGGCGAACTAGCTGTTTTACTCTAGAATATGGAAGTTTGCTACTCTCGGAATGTGCAATGACAAGTGAGAGAGAAAAGGCATCTGTAAGACATCAGAAAACCGTCATAGAAAAATCTTTTTGATTTCTATGAGGTAAAAAAAAAATCGTTTCCCAAATTTGCCGCCCCCAAAATCTGCCGCCCTAGGCTCGAGCCTACTCAGCCTGCTGGTAAATCCGCCACTGCATAACATATATACCAATCCATGCCTATGCTTGTCTCTATTGGCTAAATCCAATAGAAATGCACCTGGAATGAATTGGTAACTCATAGCGCCAAACCCATTCAAACCAATTTGAACCAATTTATTTTTTTAAATTTGGGTTAAAAATAGCAGTTGATTTTTCATTCAAATATAATTAAGATCCCAGAATTACCTACCCAGAATTACTTTTTCACAGAAGAGACACAGAAGACACTGCAGTGTAACATGTAACATATGTTAAACTATAAGGTTTTGAAATTTTAGTAAACTATCGATAGTTAATCGATAGTATCGATAGTCGCTTTTCTCACTATCGATGCTATCGATAGTCTACTTTTTACCACTATCGCTACCTCTACCACTAAGCCCTGCTTAAAATACCCCATAGAGACACTGCAGTGTCTTCTGTGTCTCTTCTGTGAAAAAGTAATTCTGGGTAATTCTGGGATCTTAATTATATTTGAATGAAAAATCAACTGCTATTTTTAACCCAAATTTAAAAAAATAAATTGGTTCAAATTGGTTTGAATGGGTTTGGCGCTATGAGTTACCAATTCATTCCAGGTGCATTTCTATTGCAATATCTCTATTGGCTAAATCCATGGATTTAGCCAATAGAGACAAGCATAGGCATGGATTGGTATACAGTGCTTGCAAATCCAAGTCCGACCGTTTAGAGAAGGACGCGTGAAAATAACAAGGATGGAACACCAAATAGAAGGCGCTTACAATACGCACGCCTGACGCTCTGACCAATCAAATTCTGTTTGGCATTCTATCCTTATTCTTTTCACGTGGGTATTGAACAACCATCCTTTCCAACGCGGTCGGATTTGGATTTGCAAGCACTGTATATGTTATGGCTAATGTGCAAACTTGGATAGTTTATAAACTAGCTGGATATTTTATTAAAAAAATAAGGGGTTTATTTTTATAGTAGGCACATTTTCAACCTACCAAATACAGGAGAGTCAAAAATATAGTATAGCACAAGGAGTTCGAACTTTATGTAAACAAGAATCTTCCTAAGATAAGAGGGCGCTGCCCACACAGAACACGCTATCCAATGGATATCCAATGGCTATCCCAATGTCCATATAACATCCATGCCTTTTACGATATCCATTGGATATCCAATGGATATCCATACTGGATGTTCAAAAAAAACAAAAACATTAAAAATATTTTTTTCTTTTTTAAATAGCCCCTTATAGGATAAATTTATGTAATGATTAATAAATATGATTTAAATCGTTATTAACCCAATTTCAACAAAGTTGTTATATGTTTGTCATAAAGTTTATTGCCAAGTTTTGTGATTATTTGTTTGAGGTCTCTAGTGGTAAGTAAATAATTTATTAATTTTCTAATCATATATGATAGTTATCATTTTAAATTGTATTGGTCTAAAACTAATACAATTTTAAATTAAATAGGTATATTTAAGTGCAATTTATAAACTTTCGGTTAGCATTGAAGGTAAAACATTAAAGGTGAATACATGCATGCATTTATATACCGTACCTTTATTTGCAAGCTATACATAGGCTCGAGGGTAACAAATGGGCTGATGGATTGGCCAAATTTTGGGGATCATAAGGAGACAGGTGAAATAGGCCCTAAATGATTAGGCTGATAAAAAGGCAAATGACAGCTGGAGGAGTGATGGCAAGCCAGAGACTTCACTTCTTTAGTTATATATATATATATATATGTAGTTTTCTGTTCTTTTTTATGTTTTCATAAAAATAAATATTTAAATTAAAGAATAAGACTTTTATTTTAAAACCCAATGTTATTTATTGAAAAGTAAATATCCATTGATTCACCATATCCAATACAGATGACAACCATATTGCATACAATACTATATCAACTGGGTATCCATTGGATATCCACACTATGTCCAGGA